TATCTGAACCTGAGCAAATGTGTATACTAGTCATAATTCAGTCAGACAAATGTTTGAATTCTGTGCTGAGACTGGGGCATGATAATGAGGCAATTTGGGAATGATAATGAGGCAGTAATGTCCACTGTGCTTCATTTGTTTTTCAACTCTTTTGCAAAGGAACTGGATTGCAGTCTTGTAGATAAAAAGCATTTGGGACTAGCTTTGTCATAATGATTTTAATTACATTTTTGACAAATGTAGGAAGGTATACTCTTTTCTTACTTTTATTTACTCACATCGGACTGTAGAGTCAGAACCAATACCATGTGCAAAAGTAATCTTTCTCAGCCTATTTACATAGCTTATAAATTGTCTGCAATGCTTTTGGTGTCTGTGGAGTTCCTCTGCCATGAAACTGGTAGAGGAGAAAAAAGTTATCTCCAAGGAGAGATCCTTCTAAGAAGTCATACAAGGCTTTCTTTTTTCTTAAAATGTTAGATCATTAAGAAGGCTTAGTTTTCAGAGCACACTGCGGCAAGAAACTATTGTTGCTCTCCACTGATTAGCTGGGTCATTTGCCAAGTCTGCTTTCACCATCTTCTGAAGCCCGTGGCCCCCAGACAGCCACGATGCCTCTGGTGAGGAGCTCTGGTGCCAGTGTGTGCAGAATCCAGCAGCTCTGCATCACCATTACAGTTCCCTTGAGCAAAGGGCAAATTCTGAGCCTGCCATAGAGAAACCAAGTCAGGGCTGAAGCTCCCAGGTGAAATCAGTTTTGTGACTCTTGTTTCTCCTTTGGCAGAGACTGTAAAACACTTGTGGGGTTTTTTTATTGTTCTGTACAGTACACAGAACTCACAGAGTCCTGAATGACTTTGTTCAGGATACTGCAGGTGTCAGTAGGTTTTACTGCCCATTAAAGTTCAGACAGTAGTTAGGATTCTTTCTTGATTACCTGCTGTTTAATTAGTAAAAGACAATAAAAAAAATAGCACCAAATAGCATGACTAGCAAAGGGTTTCAGGAATACAGTTTAACCAGGAAGACAGCACTGGAAATGAGTGGGCTGAGGGTACTTACTGCCCAAGCACTGACAAAGCAGCTTCCTGCGCTAACAGCACCAGTCAGGGCCCTGTTTGAAGCAGGAGAAGCGAGCAGTAAAACTGGCAGGTCAGGCAGACACACAGGTGTACCAGCACACATCTACTAGGTGATACCATCTTGGAAAGACCAAAAATGTTGATTTTTCCATTTGAGATCCCTCTCTTCCTCCCCTGTTACTCTTAATAGTGCAAAAACAGGTGGTTTTTTTACCTACTCTTGTCCATAAGAGGAAAAGCATAAATGCCAGAAAACACAGGCAGATGCCCACCTGTTCCCAGGGTTTGCCACACTGGCTATACAGCAGAGCTTTTGCAGTAGATGGCTTTGCTGATAAGCATGGGCCAGCTGACAACAGCACACAACAGTGTGCAGTCCTAACAATTCCCAACATCCAGGAGGGATCAAATGAGGGCATGGTCACCCTAGAGAGTGCCAGCTTCTACTGGATCTTAAATGACAGGAAATTAGTGTAGAAACAGCTTTATATGAAAAATTACCAAGAGGGGATGGCAAAGGAGGGCAAATGAAAGCATTTACTTTTTGTACCTTTTAATTCTAAGGTTGTTGAGTCATTTTAACAGTAAATACTCCTGAATTAAGTTCAGGCTTATTGTTTGACGTCATTAGCCTGTCTTGTTAGATAATGCTACAACCCTACTTCAGCTGCAATCAGTGTTATCAACATATGGGAAATTATTTGTGAAAAAAAAAAATTACAACATTATTTATACTGGGGTTACAAGTTAAAGTAAAATTCTTTGTAAAATTTAGATGCTCTAAGTTTAAGCATCTGAAGTTTAGATGTTTTTTATTGTGAAGTCATGCTAAGTTCATCACAGGTAGTACTGTTGTAATGTTCCATTAATGCCAACAATCTGTTCAGTCCTCTGAGTTACATGAATGCTTTGAAAATAGCTTATTATTGTTAAATTCCTGCCTTTCTTTTTAAGGGGTTTGATAGAGTTGTACTATTTTGTGCCTCCCACCATTGTGCATTTCTGCATGTTCAGTTCTAGAACTCACTCGAGCAGATGATGCATATGTAAATAGCTGTATGTATGTATGTGTGTATGAATGTATATGTTTATACCTCTCTGTCTAAATATATTCTGTACAGTGTATAGGAAATGTGTAGTGTATGTATATATGTACAGATAGGGAGCCATTATTCATCTATTATGTGCTAAATTTTTTTATTCATTTGCTAATCCAGAGCTTCCTAATTTGGTGAATCCTCATAAATTTCAGAGCTTTTCTAAACCAGTCTGAATTCACTATTTGCTGTTCAGAACTGACAAATATATTCCATTAATTTTCTGGCTTTTACATTATTCTCTTTACCTTTTCTCATTTGACCTATAGAGGTCTGCAAGTCAATAGTTAACTGAGCATATAATGCCTTTTTAAAATAATGAATAAATAACTATAGTCATAGAAAATGCTTCCCTGCTCATTATATACTCATTCTCTTCCAGCCCTCCTAAGATACTTTTGTAAAGTTGTATTTTTTGTGAAGCTTGGTAAGAGACTGATTTTTTGGTTTTAAGTTTTCATCTGTGGCTAACTGAAAGTAAACCAAGTTGCCATTTATCACTGAACTGCAGCACACAGAACAGGAGGTAATGGATGCTGTTTAAGAAATCAATAGTCATATTGTCATAGTGATCTCATGAAACAAGCTGTGAGATGATAGAGACTGTGTGCTCTGGTCAGTGAAAAAGCAGCTCTGGTACAATGGTAATTAAATAGTAGGGACATTGCAGGTAATTTATTTCTTAGCAAGCATCAAGACATCTTCAGGATTTTCACAATGTATTTCAATATTCACTTTCCAAAGTTTTTATTTCTGTTTTCCAGCCTAAACTGAACACAGCTAGTTTCTTAATTTAGTTGTCAGACTATGTCCCTTTCCACATTCTGTCCTCTCCTGGGTCTGCAATCTGTGCAGCTCCTGCACTGCCTGTGACAGACCCACTCCATGTGGGACCTGGACACACAGTTGGGAAATGAGATGTGAAGTAAGACAATTTCTTATTCATAATGAGGACTCAAACATTTACATTATCAAAGCTTGTTCTTCTTCTCTTTTGATGAAGCTAAAAAGGAAGCCTTCCATAAAGTAAATCTGTTAACTGTGGGTTTTTTAAAAAAAGCATTTCACAGACCATGCAGGACAGTAGTTCAGCAAGTCTTGTTTCTGTTATTAAAAAGGTGAAATAGAATTTTATGGGCATTTATTTCCATCTTTTGTGCTCACTGTGGCAAAGACTTGTGTATGTTTAATCCAATAATAAGACACTAATCAAAATAACATGAACTTTGTGCATGATTAAAGTAAACCACAAGTCTGAGGAAATTTTGGAAAGTTTGCTTTGGCAAATGCTGAGAATGTTCTATTTCTTGGTGTATTGGTTAGTGAGCATTTGTAAGCTTTTATTTCAAATATAGGAATAAACCTGTAGCATTTCAAAACCTTATTTCTACAATTTTCAGCAGGAAAAATATGTAAATTAATGTCAGGAATTTCTGTGACAGATGTACCTTCCTTGGTGTCTGGACAACTGGTGGTGTTTGAATGCTTGCTTTTCTCTTTAAAGGTGAATAGAAACCTGAAAGTCTGTTAAAGTCACTGTACTGCAGGAACAGTTTTAAATAGGAAGCCAATTGGGGCATTAATGCAAGATTGAATCTGTTTAAAAACTCAACTGTCAATTCAGGAAAAAAAAAAGAAAAGGCAAAGTTCAGTGAAACCAAATGTGTTATATCCACATTTGAATTGTTTGTATTCTGAAGAACAAAATGTGCTTAAATTTAATGGCAATAAAGGCTCTGCAATAATACAACACAGGTCCATTTTACGGTATTTTCATGATTGTGGGTTAAAGCAGGACTGAATAAATTTAAAACAAAAAAGCACAGTCTTTGAGAAGAAAACATATTACTTACAGACTGTATATGTTGAATTTTCCATATATGGAATCAAGATCAAATGTTCAAGTATTTTTAATAATTAATCCGTACTCTGAAATACACTGGAAGCCAGTGTTCATAGTTTCCTAACTGAAAACTGCACAGTTGTATCTGTATTGGCATACTAGGGAGTGCTGAGCTCCTAAAAAACAGCAAATTTTTATAGAAGGAAGCATTTACTTTCAGTTCCTTGGGATTTTTTTCTGGAAGTCTGTATTCCTTATAATTTAGAAAACAATTGTTTATTTTAAAACTGCAAAAGTTTTTAATTTCTTACAGCTTCTTTTGTGAAATCAGTATTATTGTGTGTGATAGCATTTAAAAATAATAGCATGGGGTTTTTTTAAACTAAATTTTATATCCAAGCAATGTCTTCAGTCACAAAGAGGAATTTGCATTGTTGTGTTTGTATATAGAGTATTGCAGTGCATGATTTAGCTTATGCATTTTATTAAATGCTGTTGTGATATTATATTGTTGCAGTTAATACTAGTAGCTAAATGAGGTCTCTACCATTAAAGTGAATTACAAATATAACTGCATTCTTGAGTTTTATTTTGAAGTTGATTTAAGTTTCTCTTGAACAGGAGCAGTCTAAGCCAAATACATAATTTACTATCTTTTAGGGAGAAACAGCAATTTGCCTTCACCACAGTGATTATCTTAGGAGAGATTTAACAGGGTCTGGTATAGAAAAGAAATCCCATTAACTTACTGACTCCAAGAAACTTCTCTAGGAGGAGAGAGGGCTTTTCCTAACGTTTTAATTCATCGTGAACAGAAAAGCTTTGAGTAGCCCCGACGCTGTCGCTGCAGTGCGCGGGACCCGGCGCGCCCCTCACGGCCCGCGCGCCCCTCACGGCCCAGGCCCAGCGCGCGCCCTCCGCGGGCACTGCCAGGGACGGGATAGGCGGGGCGGCGGAGCCTCCGCCAGGGGGCGCTCGGGAGCGCCGCCTCCCCTTCCGGCCGCCGCCGCGATGCCGATGAAGGGCCGTTTCCCGGTGCGCCGGACGCTGCAGTACCTCAGCCAGGGCGACGTCGTGTTCAAGAGCTCGGTGAAGGTGATGACCGTGAACTACAACACGGCTGGAGAACTGAGCGAAGGCGCAAGGTGAGTGCGGGGCGCGGCGGGAGTGCGGGCTGCCCCTGCAGACACCAGGGCTTGCACGGGCCGCGCCCTCCACAGCGACAAGGGGCCAGCCGTTGTGCGCTTTTCTCTTTCCTTCCAGAAAGTTCGTGTTTTTCAACATCCCCCAGATCCAGTACAAGAACCCCTGGGTGCAGATCATGCTGTTCAGGAACATGACTCCCTCGCCCTTTCTCCGGTTCTACCTGGGTAGGTGGCGCCAGCCGCGGGGACCGCAGCAGCCGCAGAGTAGCGGCCGGGCGGCGCCGGCAGCGTGGTGACCGCCGCGCCTGTGCCCTGCTCGCTCGGCCCTGCCTCGGCTGCTGCGGGGAAAGAAGCTGCTTGAGCAGGAAAGAGCTTGGGCTGTTAGCAGCTCCCCGTGACTCACCCTCGTGGAGATTTTGCTTTTCCACTTAAAATATTACATTACACATTAACCAGGAGGGAAGTAGACCCTTCATTCCTGTGAGTGTAAAGCCTCTCTAAATGGCATGCAGGAGGAACTGGTATCATTTGATACACTATTATGAATTTTTTTTGACAGACAGTGGAGAACAAGTTTTGGTAGACGTGGAAGATAAAACCAACAAAGAGATAACAGAGCACATTAAAAAAATCCTGGGGAAAAGCAAGTAAGTAGCACGCAGTAAGCTAATACATCATCTAGCATACATATTACAAACTTTTGTGGAATACAGAAGGAAACACTACTTTTCCTGGATAAAACTGACACGAGCAAGGTAAAGTCCACAAGGCAGGATCTGTAACTCCATCTTTCTAATAACCTGGGTCCAGGGAAGGGAGAGGAAATATTGCAAGTCAGACTTCTCATAGTAACAAACAGATCTCTTTTCTAGAGAAATGCTTGAAAAAGAAGAAAGAGAAAGGAAAAAACTATCACATCCAGCAACCTTCGGGCCCAAGAAGTATCATCTGCGAGAATGCATGTGTGAGATTGAAGGCCAAGTTCCCTGTCCTGCTTTTGTACCATTGCCCAAAGAGATGAGGGGAAAATACAAAGCTGCCATGAAAAATGAGGCATGAACCTGACATTTCAAGATCTCAAGTCATGAAGCTATTTTGCCTCAGGACTGGACAATGAGGGTGCTTCAGTGAGAGACAAGAGGCAGCAGTTCCTGGGAACAGGAACAAGCAAGTTCATTCAATACAAAGAACTCTGCCTCATAAGCCTTCTTACAACTACAACTAGAATTATTAAGTGAAAAATAAATAAAAGTTAAAACTGGCACAAAAAAAAAAAGCTGGGGTTCTATGAATTACTGCAGGTCACCACTGGAAAACAAAATTAATATAGTCTTATTTCTTATTCATGCCTGCAGGTAGTCAATTATGGCATGGCAAAACTAAGATCATGTTTTCTTTGGGATAGAGTAGCTAGACTAAAAAGTTAAATCTTAAAAGTAGCACAGAATTCCATAATTTATAGAAAGTGGTGCAAAAGTCCATATTGTACCAACTAAAGACAGGCAAATGATAATATAACTCCAGTCTCAATTGAATTTTCCTAATTTATGTAGTTATGAATCAGAAACAGTTCAGAGTCTCATTTCCAGGAAGATACAACTTTTGTAGTTGATACTGCAGCTCTGAGAAGCACTGATCAAGTTGGGAATATCAGCAGGAAAGGAGAATGGGAAAATTGGTGTATAAAAGGCAAGTTTTACAATTACCAAAAAACCTTTTTTGAATCATTACAGTTTCTGCCTCTCCAAACAATTACACCATCCCTGTAATATGTATAAATATGATAGATTGTAGTCTACTGTACAGACCTTTGCATCAGGCTTATATGTACAAGTCACTGTAGAACTGTATTGCAGCATTTCTGAATTCACAGTTGAATACAAAATTTCACACTGTTGCAAGCATCCTGTACAAATTGTCAAGGACAAACACAACACAAAATAAACATGTTGTTTTATTTCATCTCTTTTTACAAAGTTTTCATATGGAGTAGTGCATGCAGTTGTAACAAAAGTCGATGGTAATTAGTTATTGAGCTTTATGCTTAAGACATCTTCATTCCCTTGTGCCTTGCAAGCCTCACAGCAGTCCCTATACCAGCAAAGGTCTTCACATTAGAGACGATTTTCTTATTAGGTGTCTAGTCTATCACAGTTAACACTGACAAAGATCATGAGGTATCCTAGTCTGTTACCTGCTTGTAAAAATAATGTATTACATATACAATAAGAATACTTCAGTTATTAGTGTATTAGCCAGAAAATATGAACAAGGCAGGATAGCTGCAACCAGGATAAAGCCACTTTTTAATGAGAAAGCTGAAGCCACTGATTTTTCATGTTGATACCTAAAAAAGCATTAGGTTATAGTGCAGGATGCAATCCTCCTGACTAGCAACCAAGTCTGTCCTAAATAAGTGCCTTATACTATCTCTTAGATAATTCCAGGGATTCTGTTTAGCTACCAACAATTTTTGCTGCCTTCAGGAGTCTGGTGCTAAGCGCCTATCTTCTGTCAAGACCTTTAAGAATCCTGTGTTCTTCTACTTGGTGCAAAATAAAACTTGAGGACTAAATCAGCTCTAAGAAAACATCAGTATAAGAACTTCATGGTCTTAAGCCAACCTCTGCTACACACCTTTCAAACCCAGAATTAGGCTACACCAGACAGACCATCAGGTATCCTTGACTGGCTGGTCTGAGTTACTTTAACCCCTTGCTAGTTGTATTAAGTGAGGATATAGGTGGTTTGGTCTTTTTAAACAACAGTTCCACAAGTCCCTACCTCCACTTACTCACAGCTAGGAACCACAGTTCCTGCTCTTTAAGTAACAGAGTTAGAAAATCTTAAGCAGTGTTGGGGTTACAGCTATGCCAGGATCAGAGACATAATTAAAAGATATGTCCCATTCCACAGAACTTCACGCTTCTGAGTAAGCCCACTATTGTTAGTGCTATACAGTGTGAGCTGCCTGATTTTCCTCTTATTTCAATTCTAAATAAACCCTTTAAGATTAACTCACCACCACCACTCCTGCAAACAGTGATTCCTGCTGATGGGTCTGTGCCTCTCAAAGATAAAAATCAAAGCAGTTAGATTCCATCTTTCTCAAAAAACCCTGCATTTGCCCAGCTGTTGGCCCTCCTGCATCACAGGTACTGGCTGTCACCAGGCCATCCCTCAGGCCACAAGATCACAAGAGGTCTTCAATCTGAAGTTCCTTATTTAAAATAGGTATGCCTGATTCTCATAAAAACTGAGTGGAATCTAACATGAGAGAGAATTGCCATTTGGCAGTATTGCAGCCAGACTTTGTCTCCCAGCTTTCACAAAATTCCAGTGGCATCTCAGCTTTCCATTATAAAGAAAATTTTTTGTTGCTTGGGTGCTACAAAATATTCCACTCTCACAAATGTAACAAACATGATCATTATGTCACCCAGAGGATTTAAAGGAATGTGTAGATTCCATAATGTAATTAGCAATTAGAGGTTCACCCTTTATATTACAGATAGAAGTGTTGCTGGCCTGATGCTCCTTTCCCTGGAAATAAACAAATGCTTGTTCCCTCATGAGCAGGTCTGAAGCCAGCATGATGCTACGACACCATCGTTTTCACTCAGAGCAAATGGGAAACCAGAAGTGATGAAAAGAAGCATCCAAATTTTACTTGGGAATCTTTATACAGATACTAAAAAGTTACTCGTACTAAGATCAGTTAGAAAGTTTTTCTCAGTCTTAAGATCCCTTTTATGTATTTAATTAGCACTGCATAAACTTGATCTGTGAGTCTGTACATTCAGCACCCAGAGCATCACAGCAGCTCTATAACAACACATTGCCAGAACACCATTAGCAGTTCAACTATCCTGGGTCAGAAGATGAAGAAGTTTTAGAAAAGTTTTAATCTCTTTCTAGTCAAAGCCACATGTGAAAGGCCAACACTACAGCAGAAAGCAGGAAAGAGGGCAAACCAATATTCCAACCACTTCCACATCATAGTTCCCTATTGCCACTTAATCCCTGGACCAAAATAAGCATTCAGTAAGACCAGTTAGCATTAAAAAGTGCTGTAAAAAGTTATCTTAAAATTTCTTACTCTAAGCTTTTGAGACCAGCAGCATTCCTCAGTAATTCTTTCTTCAAGACTGTGTAGTAGTGGCTATGTCTAAATGAAAGTGCTTTAAAGTCAGGATTCTCCCAATTCCCTCTTGTGATCTGTACTCCTGTCTGTAAGTATCTGCTTTACTTTCCCATATTTAACAGCAGACTGAATTATTACACAACCCTATTGCTGCTTCAACAGTTAGATTTCTCCTTCTGCTTTGCTAAGGTGTGTTTCAGTTCCTTTAAGTTCTCTGTCAGTACCTCCACCTCATCCAGTCGTCCACTATGTTTGGCATCAAATATATAAGCTTTAATATTATCTATCTGTTGGAGAAGCAGTTCTTCCTCTATAGCCTCCTCTCCAGAGATCTCACTGCCATCCTCCACTTCAAAGGGATTGATAGAGGATCCCTCTTCAAATGGATTCCCTGAATTCCAACTGCCCCCAGGCTTTTCAAATGGATTTTCATCCTCTTCAAAAGGGTTTAAAGTACTGCCAAGTGCTCCATTACTTTGTTCATCCTCCTCCTCACTTTCAAATGGATTATATTCTTTTTTATCACTTTGCTGAGCTGTGTTAGAGAAAGAAACCACTGGAGAGCTGTCTTTGGCGAATGGATTAGCAGGATCTTCTTCTGCTCGAGGGGTATCTGCTTCATCCTCAAAGGGGTTTAGACAGGCTGGCTGATCACGGTCCTTGTCACACTGTGGGACATTCTGGGGTTTGAGTGTGAAGGTGGAGTGCTCTTTTGCTGGCAGCTGCTCAACAACAGGAGTTTCAAAACTCGTGTCCCCTTTGATCCAAGTAACATCCAAATGCTGTTTGACTTCTCTAAAGTCTAAGGAGCGTGTCCTTGAATGCTGAGACATGAATTTATGGTGCTCTCTTTCCCACTCTTTTTCACGAAGGACCTGAAGTTCCTCTCTCTGTATCTCCTCCTCTTCTGCCTGTTTTTTAGAAAGCTCAATAGCTTTAAGAGTTTGTTGTTGATCGTATTCATCCTGAAGCTGCATCAGGTTCTCTTGCAACGTATGGACCTCATCTATCCTATTAGCTGCCTTTGCTTGCTTAATAAAGGATGTGATATTGTCAATCTGCTGAAGAAGTGGGTCTGCTCTCTCGCTCTCTCTTGAAATGCTAGATGTGGGTAACCAGCCTTCAGATTTTTTGACTGTTTCTTTTTTTATGTGAGTTTCATCACCATTAACTGCAGATGCAGATATGGAGATAAACTCCTTCTGCTTTTCCTCTTGTCTTCCCTGTGCTTCAAGAGCAACCTAAACCAAAAAACATGTAGTAATAAAACACTGCAAGCTTGAAAATTTTCATTCTAAGTATCCATAGGTACAAGTTAGCTGATCTTAAGACATTGTTGGCTGACGCTTAAAGGGATCAGCTGCCATTTTGGTTACTTTGCAGAAGATTCTTACTTTCATACCACTCCTTACGTGTTTCCCCTGAGTTTGTGATGATACTGATGAAAAACCCATGACATCTGCCTCTACAAACCTGAGGGAAACTAGGAGCAACAATTCTCTTTATAGAAGAAAAAAAAAATGCCTAATGCAGCTGTGCAAAGAGTGGTCTAGATTGATCTGGACATATATCACATAGAACATCAGTGTTTAAGGTCACTGATATCACTGGCTTTTGGAGTGGGATTATTCTAATTTCTCAACTTATACTTCAAGATGAAGTTGGCTTTAGTTTATAATTAAAGATATCCTCCCTCCTAAAGGAAAAAAAAACCTCTCTCCCTGCAGAGGCATCCTTATTCTAGTATGTTCTTTCCCACCAACAAAAGAATTTTCCAAATTCTACTTATGTGAGTGAATTCCTGAACACAATTTTGAAGTCATTATAAACTAACACACTAACTTCAGGGTTTGCTCTGCACGCACTGCAGCAGAAACAGCCCATGCACCCAACCCCCTGCTGCTTCCTAGAAGTGTCCACCTTTGTGCCCACCTACTTCTGTTCTGGGCAGAACAAAGCAGCAGCTAGGCAAATCCCTGATAAAGGGGATGGGACAATATGGATGAAAAAGGAACAAACTGAAATCCAGTGTTGAAGGCAGCTACTCATATCCCCACACAGCTTCCAGGCTTGTATCTAAGAGAAAGCCTGATACAAGACGTAACAGATCCCAACCTGTCTTACCATATTCAGTCTTCTCTTCTTCAGTTCTTCATACTGATCCTTAGTGGGCAGGGACATTAGGCCAAGCAGTTTTTCCTGGCAAAAATTGAAATATTTACAGTATTGCTCGCAGGTATTCAGCCCATTTTTCAAGTCCTTGAGAGATACTACTAGCAGAAACCCCACAAACACATCAAAGATGCTTCTATACTGCAGTCCCTGCTGCAGGTCTCCACACATCTCTGCTGCCACACCTGCACTGCTGTGTGGGCTCATACCTCAGCAAGAGGAAGAGCCAAGGCTCACACACCTCTTGGGTTCCCCAGGCGCAATGCTGCTCTGAGTGAAAGATCTGTGTTCAAGATAGCTTATTTAAGGCTATCATAAATCATTAGGGGAGCTACAGAAAATGCAGAAAACGTATAGAACTAAGGCCCCTATCAAAATAGTTTCAAACCACAGGGATGCCTGGCAAAGAAGAGAACACAATCCAAAGTGTACATTCATCTCACAGCATATGCTCTATTCACCTGAACAAAAAGTGTAGCTGAATATCTTATCATTCGCTGAAGTTGTAGTATTTTAGGATGAGGTTGAGGATCTTCATGCAAGCCTAGACTCAAAATCTTCTTACTAAATCAAAGAAAACATACAGCCTCATCAGTTCAAAAACAAAATCAGGAAAAATGCCACAAAAGCGGAGAGACAATATTGG